TAATATGTAGGATTTCAGTATGGTGTCTCTCCCCCTTTCTTCATTGTTAAAATTGACCCAGATGATGAACTTACCAGTTTCAGCTGGAGTGGGGGAGGTGTTCAGGACTCTTGCTGTTAAGGGCAGGGCATCAAAAGAACTGCTGTTGTCTTATTTTCCAGTGAACCCCCCATTTACAGCCTGTCCCCCCTCACCTATAACTTCAAGTATATCTAGCAGTGCTAAACCTTTGGAGGATTTTTAGTGAGAACTGACTTGCTTCATGTTGGCTTAGCACCCTACCTCCCACCTTCTGATTTCTCAATCTACCAAGGTTCTACTCATCCAATTAAAGACAACAATGCCAGATTCTTTTTTTTTTTTTTTTCAGACTCCCCTAATCTTTCCAGGTGACTTGTATAGAGAACCCTTCCCTCCCATCACTTGTCTTTGGGGGAAGGTAAATCACCCTCTTCTCTCCTAAGGGGAAAGCACTTACGTCAATATACAGATCATCTAAACATAAAACCAACAAGGAAAAAGTGGCTTCAAATGACACCCTGGACCAGATGAATCTAATGGATATATTCGGGACATTCCATCCTAAAACAGCAGATACACATTCTTTTCAAGTGCACGTGGAACATTCTCCAGAATAAATCACATATTAGGTGATCAAAACAAGCCTCAAAAATTTCAAAAAGGTTGAAGTCATACCATGCATCTTTTCTGACCACGACACTATGGAACTAGAAATCAACCTGAAGAAAAAGTCCTAAGGGGAAGAAGGGGAGAGAAAGGCTCTTATCACAGATACTAGACATAAAGACTCCTGATTCCTTTTCTCCTTTTAGGAAGACAGTGTGGTGTGGTAAAGAGGAGGGGCTGGTGAAGGAGGAGGGGGTGGCATTTGGAATAGGGCTGGTTCTCTTCATGATTTAACCATGGGGGCAGGAGTCTAGATCCAGCCATTAGTGGCACACTGGTGGTTCTCTTTAGAAACTTGGGGCCACTAAGCACTTCTAGCCATCAACTTTGGACCTTAACTGCAGTTCCAGGACAAGAGGGAAGAGTCATACTCAAAAACTGCATAATGTTTCATTGTGTGAGTATATTCAAATGTACTTCTTAGTCCCCATTGTGGGACATTAGGGTTTTTTTTTTTTTTTCTCACTTTTTTGATGTTAGAAGTGTCACAACGAACATCCTTGTAGTTGTTAACCGTTGTTATTTCCATAGGTGAAATCCTTATGAGCGGAACAGCTGGGTGATGTGGTATGCATGTTTTAAATGTTTTTGTCACATATTATTCAGTTGCCCTGAAATCTTGTACCGATTTTATACCCCTCCCAGTAGTATGTGAAGAGGCTCTCTTTTCCCCTTAAGTACGCTTGGTCTAGATTTTCCTCATCTCTGCCAGTTTAGATAAAAGAATAGTATTGCATGTTTTTACTTTGCATTTGTTATCACTAGTGAATGAATGGTTTTACATGATGGCTTCTTGGCCATCAAGCTATTTTTATTTTTATTTTTTTTTCATCGAGCTATTTTTAAATGTAGTTTTTCTTTTCAGAACCTTTGTCAGTTTTTCTATTTGTGTTATTAACATTGTATTAATTTTTAATACATTGATAATAAATGCCATACATGTTGCTACTGTTTGATATGCCTATATATTTTATTTATAATACTTTGTTGTTCAGCAATTTAAAATTTTTCTATATTCAGATCTTAGATAAGTGACGGCTTAATTCTCTGAGTCTCAGTTTTCTCTTCTGTAAAAATGGGATAATAGCAAATACTGCATGGGAAGGCGGGGTGATATAGGTGAACTGTTGCATACTAGTTGCTTATATACTACAGCTTTTTGTTAATCCCTGTGTGACACAGGGAAATCGTTCAGAATCATCTACATTTTTAAGTAGAATTACAAAACGTACTCAAAGATGTTTAAACCAGATACAAACCTGGGTAATGAGTAAAAATCTGAATCTTTTAAGCTAATATGGACAGGTAAATTTTAATTTCTCCTTTCACTTTCCTAATTCTCATCCTTCAGAAAAGTTCATGAGCTCTGATTGATGCATCCCCTTAAGTAGGGAAATCTGTCTGAGTAGAGTGTGAAAAGTCTAGTGTTTTCTTGTGAAGTATCGGTTAAGGGATTATGAATAAGTTCATTTCTTGTAAGGATTTCTTTCATAGCATCCTCATCTTATCTCATGTCAATACAGAGATATAGTTAATAAAATCAAGACACACTCTAGCCCCTCCCACTTTTAAGACAATATGAAGCTGAGGTTTCTGCCCTTCAATTGGTCAATAGAACTTACTTCCAGAGGTCAAGTACAATTTGGCTTAGATGGATAACAGACTGTTCAGTTGTAGGTTACATAAACTACTTTTGCAAATATTTCTTTTTAGTCCATTTAACACCAGTAAAAGTTTTTATTTTGCATCTTGTAACTTCTGGGTAACTTTTTATGATAATTTAATAGAATTGTATTTATTTATCTATTTCTTTTTGAGAGAGAGTGTGCGCTGGTGGAGGGGCAGAGGAAGAGAGAAAGAGAATCTTTTTTTTTTTTTTTTAAGATTTTATTTTTTTATTTATTTGTCAGCAGGAGAGTACACAGGCAGGCAGAGTGGCAGGCAGAGGCAGAGGGAGAAGCAGGCCTCCCCGCCATGCAGCGAGCCCAATGTGGGACTCCATCCCAGGACACTGGGATCATGACCCGAGCTGAAGGCAGCCGCTTAACTGACTGAGCCACCCAGGCATCCCAAGAAAGAGAATCTTAAGCAGACTCCATGCTCAGTGTAGAGCTCCACATGGGGCTCAAACTCATGATCCTGAGATCATGACCTGAGCCAAAACCCAGTCAGATGCTAGATCGACTGAGCCACCCAGAGGCCCCATTTAGAATTTTTTACTATAGTAAAATAATTAGGCCATTTCACATATAATCTCACTATAAGTGAAATCATATATAGTAATTACATAGATGATGTAGAAGGTGTGGCCTAACTTGTGAGCCACATTTTAATTTTATAGTATATTAGAGCACAGTGTAAAGGGGAAATCACCATTGAGGATGTTCGTAAGCTTTTGTTTGTTCACCAAATATGCTTTTAGAAATATAACTGTGTTCTGTCTTAGTTATTTTTCAGAATTAATTTCTCCCCCTCTGTCGGGTAACATGCCTATCCGAAGGAGAAGTTAACTTTCTGAAAGCCAGCAGATAAGCTGGGTGGCTGACTTTGCTCCTTCTGTTTTATATCCCTTAAAAATTTTAGTACCTTTGGTTCTCCAATAGTTGTGTATGTTTACACCACCATTACAAGGTGGAGACAATTTCAAATAAATTCCCAAGAATAATATTGGCAAAGCCACGTAAACATACATGTGCTTGGTATGGTCCTGACATTTACATTGGCTTGTGTGATTTCTTCGTACCTTTAAAATTGTTTTTTGTCTAGGGTGCCTGGGTGGCTCAGTGGGTTAAAGCCTCTGCCTTCAGCTCAGGTCATGATCTCAGGGTCCTGGGATAGAGCCCTGAGTTGGGCTCTCTGCTCAGCAGGGAGCCTGCTCCCCCACACCCCCCCCACCCCTGCCCTCTGCCTGCCTCTCTGCCTACTTGTGATCTCTGTCTGTCAAATACATAAATAAAATCTTTTAAAAAAATTCTTTTTTTGTCTCTATGATCACTTTCTGTAGTGTCATTTTATTATTGTAATACTACCCTATTCAAATGTCATACAAGGCTTTCCCTAAGTCAAATAGAATTTCCCCTGCAAAGTTAACATTGCAGATGATGTTTTTAAGATTCTTTGAGGTGGAATGGTTATCACTTGGAAGGTGACATTTCCAAACCCCTCATAGTGACCGTGTGCTATCCTGCATTTTAAATGCATTTGCTGTACAACAGTTGAAGAATTAGGTGCTTGTGTGTTAAATGCATGCCACCTGGTAATTATCTCAAGGGAGAAATGAGTTTGGTTTTGTTTGAACTTAAAGAAAAAATGATTTGTCATCTTGGTTTTCAAAGAGACTCCATTAAGATGAATGTCCAGAATTGAGTTTATTAGCTTCCACCCCTAGATATGAGTGATTTGTATATCAAAATTAAGCATATTGGCAGGTCATCATTTTAAAGTTTGTATGTAGAGTTGAAGAAAACTTACATTTACATTTGAAGTTCTTTTTTAACAGCATTTATTTCTTCTGCCAGTTATTTTATCTTATTGACAGTTAATTTACAAACCCCTCTTGAAAAAAAAGTGCTAAGAAGAAAGGGCATAGTGTTATCACATTAGTATTTGTGGGTTCCCTAAGCCATATGGTGATTTGTAATTAGAATACAAAGGATTCTTTGATGAGGCTAACTTCGTAGGAGCTGCAGCGGTAGGCATTGCAGAAGGAGAGAGTTTTCCTGAATTTCTGACGAGGACACTTTGGAAAGAAACTGTGTGGTCTATAATTGTCCCTGTACTCCAAGTCCGATAAAGTTATTGATGTGCAGATCAACTCGGTATTTCGAAGCTGGTAATTTAATTCTGGATGTTTGATCCTCTCAGTCAGTGGCTTGACTTGATTTTTTTTTTTTTTTAAGCAGCTTCAATATTTAATTTCACATGTACCCTCTCAGTAGAGATTTCAAAGGATACTTTGCTGGATGCTTGACTGCCTTGTCTATTTGCTCTTGTTTTGCATGCAAGAGAGAGCCAGAAGCCTTTCTTCTCATTGTGTACACATAGTATTAATGGATTTACTCTGCCTGTATCGTCTCATTACTGGAAACAGCCAGAAGCACAGAAGTCTTTCAGTGTATGCAAATAAGGCCGAATCATCTACCTGAGAGTTAATATTCTCTGCTTTTAAGTGTATTCGAAATCTAATGTTTGTATTTAGAGCATAACATCCTGTTCTCTTTTTTTATGGGCAAAAAGCTAAGCAGGCTGAGACAGCTGTTTGATGTGGCTTGGAGTGTTATTAATTTCATATTCTATTATTCTTTTCACTGTAGCACAAGTGAAGCTGATGTGGAGGCTGTCATGGATAAGTTGTTTGATGAGCTGGCTCAGAAACAAAATGATTGTACGTAAGTTAATTTCTCTTGAAAGAGAATACATTTAGAACACAATGCCCAATCTCCACTGACCAATTAATAAGTTCCATTGCTGTATATGGGTTGATGCCACACTCAAGTGGCAGTCATTGTATCAGCATTTTGTCTAATTTATGTGTTGAATCATGTGCTATTATTCATCAAGCTATGCATTTCCTATCTGTAAGAGATGAATTTTATAGTAATTATCCAGACAAGATTGAGTCTTTGTTCATGTTCCCATAGTAACTAGACCAAGGATTCTAAAAGTGCAAGGCAGAGAGCTGCGGCTGAATAAAGCCTGTGGAACTGTTGCCGACTGCACATTTGAAGAGCTGTGTGAGAGAGTAAGTATCCAGACACATCCAGACTCATTGGCCTTTTCACATGTTAAAATACTTCATATTTTCCTCTCTGCCTGTTTCACATTTTAAAAGACTGTTCACAGACTTGGAACTCATTTAACAGTCTCATGAAGGGAAATACTCGTCCGTATATGTCATGTGCCTTTTATGGGCCTTGGCTCGAAATTTGCACTTAGAAGGATGCTAAAGCAAAACTGGAAATACAGAGAGGACTGTCAACTGTTGCTGGAAGCAGAACAGAAACCAGTTTGAGGGATGTTTTGTGAAAGTCACACAGAAGAGAATTAAGTTTTTTTTAAACTGAGGGGAGGTTAGTATGTGGGGCAAGGAAAACGAAGTAATACTACCATGATCCAAGAAAGTATGACGTGAGAGAATTCCTAGGCCTCGTACTCATTGCCCACCTGTGATTGCTGTTTCTGATCTATTTGGGCGACAAAGTGAATTTCTGTAACCGTGACATCTGTATTATATAATAATATACTCAACAGAGGAAAGAAATATATATAACGCGTACATTCATATAAATGAGAAAGACCTTGTTGCAAATTCAGTATTGATATGAATTCTGTCTTTTTTTTTTTTTTAAGATTTTATTTATTTATTTCACAGACAGAGATCACAAGTAGGCAGAGAGGCAGACAGAGAGAAAGGGGGAAGCAGGCTCCCTGCCGAGCAGAGAGCCTGATGCAGGGCTCGATCCCAGGACCCTAGGATCATGACCTGAGCTGAAGGCAGAGGCTTTAACCCACTGAGCCACGCAGGCACCCCGAATTCTGTCTTTTAAAAAAGCTCAGGAATTCTCGTTACTCAGTGGATAGTCAACATATTTATTGACTATAAATCTTGAGACAAATTAAATATAACTTTTAGCGTAATTTCTTAATCGTCCTGTAAGTGGTCTCTGACTTATTTCAGGTTTTAAGATAACTAAAAAAGAATCATTTTTCAGTGAGGGGGAAGAGAAAGTCTTTATTTATAACTGCCAGCCATTTTGTGAGTACTTTTCTCAAAAGCTAATGACTTACTTACTTAGAACTAGTTTAGATTTGTAATCTTTAAACCAGAGAGATGAATCCAGTCTGCAGTTGTTATTAGAGAAATAAACCACTTCAGATCGATAAGGTTTAAGATCAACTAAGATCCTCTGACAGGACAAAAATGTCATCCCTGGTAGTAGGGAAATTCATCTTGGGTAATATGGACCCTTCTTCGCATTTCTGTGGGGTCAGTTTTGTCGAGGTCCCTGTAACCTATCATCTCTATTCGAAATTCTGCTAAGGCTTCCACTTAAGTTTTACTTACTTTGCTTGAGAAATAAACTTGAGAAAAATCTTGTGTATTGAAAAGATGAAGCTCCTCTTTCTTCCATGGAAGGGGACCTCATGAGGAAAGGGGAAGGATAGACCTGTTGTATCTTGGGCAAAGATGGTCTCTTGGAGCAGACACTGAGTATTTTTATTTTTTATGTGTTTATTATTTCAGGAGACACTTAACTGTTAGGAAAAGACCACTATTCATGGGCCCAGGTCTTCATAGCCTACTCTGGGGAGGTGGTGGGGAAGAAGATTGTTACAAGAATTCTTTTTCCTTTATTTATAAAGTTTCAGAACAATTAAATAAATTCAGGCAAAAGGTTGCTAGTGTATATTTTACCTTTTTAAATTAAATTATGGTATAGGTCAATCAAAAGATTTTGTTCTACCCTTTTTATATAATTCTCGGGGCCCATGTGAAGCAGGCTGGGTCCAGATACGTGTGTCGAAATTTTACATTTAAAGGCATGTGTCCTGAATTCCTTCTCACGCCATTCTAACTGCATCCTGCAAATTGGCCTTGCAAGGCAGCTAAAAGACTAGAGTTTGTAGGGAGGATTCAGGGCTGGTTGAACAGGTGTCTAAGATAACTCTCAAGATGCCTTTCAACACCAAGGTTATGAATGTTTAACTTAAGAGTGGATGAGGACAGTGAGGATGAAAAGAGAGGACAGAAAGATTTAGGGATAATTTTTGACATTGGATTCACATCCTCCCTGTAAGGATCTGACCCACTGTCTACTAAACTCCTCTTCATCTCGCTTCTGCCATACCTGTCCCCTATGCTTTAGCCAGGCCCACTGCCTTATTTGGACATGGTGTTGCCCAAGCTCAGCGTATTTGGGAAACTGGCACACACAGATGGGCAATGCTGCAGGCATGGTTTCGCTGCTGGGAAGGTGAAAGGCCAGGGAGATTCCTGGGCTGCCTCAGTTCTGGTGATTAATGCCCTTATTCCCTGATGCTAATCACCACTGTTGGCATCCAGACACCATCAGCCTTGACTCTTGGCCAAATAGTAGAGATAAAAGCTATTCATCCTTTAGTATTGACTGAGAGTGTACCAAGCACGGGACACAAACCAGAAGTAGTTCCCAACCGGTGGTTTCATTTGGAATACGTGAAAAGAAATAAAGCATAAAATAGAGATGGAGAAGCAAAATGTTTTTTAACAATTCCCCGAGAGATACTGTTAGATACAGTTATGTCTAACACATATGAACTATTTTGATATAATCAATATTAATGGAAAAAAGGTAAGGCCAAACCAAAACACATATCTGATGGATCTCCATTCCTTGAATACTAATAACCAAAGAAGAAAAAAACTAATAAACAAGAAGTTGACAGTGAACATGTGTATACCCATGCATATGCATCAACTGATACATTTTTCTGCTTAGACTTTTTACAAACACACCTGGCTACCTGTCATTATTTTTAAGACACAAATAACAAACTACTCTTGCAAATAGTTACTTGTGAGCACAGTTATCAGTTGAGGAAACAATTTTCTGCAGGTGTAAAAATTACATTTTTCAATAAGGAAAATTTAGGTATAGTCAGTTTACTCATTAAGCCTTTAGAATTCGGTTTTGGCTCACTTTCTTTGAACAGTGTTCTTTCATTTCTGGTCTACAAAAACTTAACCCTAAAGCAAGTGGTTCTCAAACTGTTTGGTTTCAGAACCCCTTCACACTCTTAAAAATTATTGAGGAACCCAAAGAGCTTTTGTTTATGTAGGTTATCCCTCTTGATATTTACTTTATGTATTAGAAATTAAAACTGAGAAAATTTTTAAGTACTTATAATCGATTTAAAATAACAATGATAAAACCCATTCTATTCATCCTATCAAATTAGCATAAATATCACTTTTGAGAAAAATATTTTCCAAAGTGAAAATAATTCATTAAGAAGAGTGACATTAGGGGCGCCTGGGTGGCTCAGTGGGTTAAACCTCTGCCTTCGCTCAGGTCATGATCCCAGGGTTTTGGGATCGAGCCCCGCATCGGGCTCTCTGCTCAGCAGGGAGCCTGCTTCTCTTCCTCTCTCTCTGCCTGCCTCTCTGCCTACTTGTGATCTCTGTCAAATAAATAAATAAAATAAAATAAAATAAAATAAAAAGAAGAGTGTCATTATATTTTTTGTAAAGCTCTTTAACATCTGGCTTAATAGAAGATAGGGACATTCTCCTTTCTGCTTCTGCATTCAATCTATTATGTGTTGATTGAAGTATAGAAGAAAATCTGGTCTCGTAAAGATGTATAGTTAGAAATGGGAAAAATATTTTAATAGCCTTATCAGATAATTGTGGGTGCTCTTTTTTGATGCTACATGAAAATTCAATAAGAACTTCCTTCCAAAGAGCACAGTATGTGAAGGGGGGGGAAGAGTAACTTTCTTTTAGAGAAACCTGATAAACACCATCTCAAACAAGTGTGATCAACATTCATATCAACAGCAATGACTCATGTTGGTAGCTATGCCCTTTATATGATGTGAGGAAAATAGCACTTGACCTCTGTGGTCTGTCTCCCACTACCCATAATTCCAGTCTAATCATGAGAAAGGCATCAGGCAAATTCTAGCTGAGGGACATTCTCTTGTAGAATAACTGGCCAGTACTCTCCAAAACCACCAGGATCTTCAAAAATAACGAAAGTTATGAGAAACTGTCACAGCAGAGGGGAGCCTAAGAGCCATGATGACTAAAAGGTAATATGGTATCCTTAATGGGATCATGGAACAGAAAAAGGACCTTAGATTAAAAGTAAGGAGCTATGGTGAGTGCTGTGAAGTGTATAAACCTGGCGATTCACAGACCTGTACCCCTGGTGCTAATAATAAATTATATGTTTATTAAAATTTTTTTTAAAAAAGTAAGGAAATCTGAACCAAATAGGGACTTCAGCTAATAGTATATATCAATATTGGTTTATTAATTGTAACAAATATGCATGCTAACATAAGGTGTTAATAATAGGGGAAATTGGATTTGGAAGTGTTTGAAAACTCTGTACTATCTTTTCAATTTTTCTGTAAACCTGAAACTATCCTTAAAAAGTCTTACTTAAATTAAAAAAAAAAATTGACAAGAAGTAGATTTTAAACTCTTAGTTACAGTGTAGAATCTGAGACAGTATCAGTGTATTTTTGACATACATTATTAAAATCCATTAATCCTTCTTTTTTAAAAAAGATTTTATTTAAATCTTTTTTTTTTAAGATTTTATTTATTGGGGCACCTGGGTGGCTCAGTGGGTTAAAGCATCTGCCTTTGGCTCGGGTCATGATCTCAGGATCGGGTCACGATCCTCAGGATCGGGCTCTCTGCTCAGCATGGAGCCTTCTTTCCCCTCTCTCTCTCTGCCTGCTTCTCTGCCTACTTGTGATCTCTGTCAAATAAATAAATGAAATCTTTGAAAAAAAAAAAGATTTTATTTATTTGAGAAAGAGAGCATAAGCAAAAGAGCACAACCAGGGGGAGAAGCAGAGGGAGAGGGAGAAGCAGGGAGCCTGATGTGGAGCTCTGTCCCAGGACCCTGGGATCATAACCTGAGCCAAAGGCAGATGCTTAACTGACTGAGCCACCCAGGTGCCCTTCCATTAACTTTAACATCTGGCTTAATAGAGGATAGGGATATCCTCCTATCTAACTTTACT